CTCGACTTTGAAGATTAACAGCAGGTATTTTAGGTAGCTATATCCCGCCTGTCCACATTACATTGGATGTAACTAATTTATATCAATTTCATTTTTAGATATCAAAACAACATTCATCGAGAATGAGGACGCCAACTTTGGGTCTTTCGTAGACTACATAGGGCAAATCAATGTAACAAGAAAGGACATCGAGATATCTATCTCACCAGATCAGGTAATCATAAGAACGTCAGAATGTGAAACAATTTACCAGTGGAAAGAAGATACCGTTAGGCTTGAAGGCGGCTTAATGATGATAGGAAAGAAACAAATCCGTGTTTACTTCAACAATGACATGGTTGAGCTTGTTGTCACTCGTAAAGGACGCGCTAAGGAAACTAATTTCTTGAATTTTGGTGTCACAGAAAAAACAGGCATGTCTATCAACGCCGGTGGAGTTATGGGTAAGTTGATTCCAATATTTGCAAATTTTAACTAATATTTTAACTAATATTTTTAAGCAATAAAATGGTAGCAATGAGTTGAGTGTGAGTTTCGGAAAGTAGTCACTTCTTCAATATTTAAAGCTTGGTCAAGGTATTCCTTGCCATACCATTTGTCAGTTTATAGTGCCGATTTCATTTCACGAAAATGACTTTGTTTAAAAGGTGTAGCTTTGTTGACAATTCCTGGACTCCCCACTTGTTCAAATTTTCAGAAGATCATGCGATGTAGATTATCGTTTTTACTGTTTTTACACATTGTCATGATCCTTTGTTGACTCACAATTTAAATATCATGTTTCTTTGTACGATTGTGCATTTAACATTGTGACAAAGGGTTGTTCAAAGGGTTATCATTGTAAGAATTAGATTGCCCCTTCACTTTTAGAATCTGATCAGATCAATTCCATTCATTAAATGATGCATGAATATAAAGAAATGCCTGTCTAAATGATCAGAAAATACCTGGAATCAAGCAATGGATTTAGCTTCATTGTCTTGTAGTTGTACACACTTCGGATATTATTCCTGTAGTATCTTTAACTTCTTTCATTTATTTGATCAGATATATTATGTTCCAGGTATGAACCATAAGGGGCTTCTTTGCATAAGCTTGTAAAATATTGTTTTTCATATTAACACTTTACACTTGATAGCTTGGGTAAAAATTGGCCTTATACAAAGCCTTGTGGAACACCACATAGTGATGTTAGTGATGTTCTTTCAGGTTTGATATTGCTTTAAGCGTGTAAAATATTGTCTTTGATATTTACACTTCATATATACAGTGTTTATATTTATATCTTTTGATGTAACTTTAAACGCGTGATCAATTGTTACAGGATGGATTGGTAACAAGGCTGTTTACAAGAATGAAGGCCCTCATTCTGGTTACATAGCATTGGGAGAAGTCACAATTCCTGTTTACGACAATAAAGACGGCTGCTTGAAAATCGATGAAGCGTATCTGGACAAGTTCAGCTCCATTCTTCATTTGTTCGAAATGGACTAATAGAGTTACAGTTATTCTAAACTTTTTCGAGGACTTCCTTCAACTAACTTGACTATTCGATCGATCAAAATTAATAGAATTGTTCATATATTTATCAGTATTTTAGCTACTGTATTTATACGAATTTTGGCTATGAACATACACTTCGGCTATTAACACACATTTTGGCTATTAACATACACTTTGGCTATTAACACACATTTTGGCTATTAAAACAATTTAATAAAATGCATGGATAAATAGAAATGAACGTGTTGTTTCATGAATGTAGAAGCAGTGATCTGGTAATCTTTCTATTATCATTCAGCAAATCATGCTTCCGAGCATTTATATGATTAATTTGATTCTTGTGATAAGGAGTATGTGCCACTCAGTGTTATTCATTCGAAATAATGTTGAACTTCGAAAATACAGGGAGTCAAATACATATGTTTTCCCCTTATTTCAAGAGTATAAACTTTTGTGCATAAAGTGCATCTAGTTGAGCTAGTCATCAGAAACTTCTTGTAGACATGCTCCATGAAGCCTCGTTTTAATGTACTAAAGAACAATTCAGATGTAATGCTTACAACAAAATTATGCAACATTATGTGGATGTTAAGGTTAAGGGGGGGGGGGGGGGTATATTTATTTGACACCCTGTATATTGATATTGATTTACTAAGCAAATATTCCATTTTAAACATGGTAATATTATAAAACTTGATCATCTTGAGATAATCATCATATTGAGATCACAATTAACATTAAATATTTATAACAAATTATGTGTCCTGGTATTTGTTCCGGGCATAGTTACCGAGGTTATTATATTGAGATCACAATAAACATTTAAATATGTTTTGTGGATGGGTGTTGTTATATCATAGATACTACATCCGAGTGTTATGATTGGCTAATTGAATACTATGTGATCAGCAATACCAGAAAATAGTTCACATCTTCCTCAATGATGACAAATATATAAAATATTTCATTCGCGCATGTTCATTGGAATATAACTGTATCCTCATTTTAAAGTCTTTATATATTGAGTCCTTGCAAAGTATATTCCAGGGGAAAAAACAGTTTTGGTCTTATTGCAAACATTCGATTCATCGGAATATGCCATTTTATCTAAATATACTGATCCAACTGAACAGAGTAGAACGTATAAAAATAGTTTTGAATGAAGGTTAGCGGAAAATTCTACATCACCGAATTTTAGATTTTTATTTATTTAACCCTCCTATCACACCAAACTAGTTCTCAGTAAATTTTTGAAAACAGGCCTAAACTGTGAACGAATAGATATACTCAGAACCATTTGGGATTCTGAAACAAAAATTTCCTTGTGGTCACTACATTCTGCAATCAGAACGAGTGGCAACGTACTTAAGACAAGCCGAACCTACAACGAACGGAACTGTCGTACTTCGATCCTTGTAAGAACCTTTTTTAGAACGAGTTGAACTGTCTTTGGACGTACTGAGAACGAGGTAGAACTAATTGCCAACGGGTTTAAACTGATTAAAATTGTAAGACATGAATGAACGGTTGAGAACAAGTTTAGTGTGACAGGGGGTTAACAATTAACTTATATTGCAATAATAGTCGCAAACGTTTTATCCCATCAATTTTCCAGCCAAGCAGTGAGATTTTAGTGCGACATATATAATTTATCTCTATCTTCAGGGATGCAAACGAGTAGAGTATTGTCGTTCGACAAGCAGGTAGTTAACCCCCCCAAGGTATCCCAAGGATTTCACTGTTCCCTTCCTGCCCAAACCTTTTTTTATTTTTGATTTCTTACAATAAATTAAACTACTCTTTTTGACATCTTATCATTTTTATTTATTTCGATTATTTTTTGTATAACGCATGGAAACTAACTTTAAAAAGTGAGCAATGTCATTAGTGTTGTGATAAAAACGTCCCTTATACCTATTTATTACAGGTCGTGTACACCATTGTTGCCTGATTTATAGCAAAAACATTGACTTTTGCACGTTAGTGATGATGCGCCTTTTTAATAGATCTCATATCTTAAAAGCGTATCAGTTCAAAAAAATACTAGAAGACCTAAAATATTTTGCTATGCACTGCGCCTATTCATTTGGCAATTCAGTTGTAAATTTTCTCTTGAAAAAATAAACTTCCTAATTTGTTGAGTTCTCTTGCAGAAATCGCCCACTCCCCCTCCATCCATTTTGTACGATCACCGGGCGTGAAATATTTCAAATATAGACAAAAAGTGGCAAAACGTTCACATCTGTTCCTATTTATTTTATTTTTCCGAGACCAACAAAGATATCAGCCTAAAACGTTAGGACGTGGTTCATCTCTGTACCAGCAATGTATGCTGCTGATAAAGTAAATTCAAGTTACATTGTTTCATTTTTTTCATTTGAATTTTATTGCAGGTTCTGTGTAAAATTAATAATTATCAGACATAAAGCGGCTTTTACACGTAGTCCAGCCTTCGTATTCGATCACGTGGTACCCATGTGCTATATCCATATAAGGCTTACGTGACCATATAGGAATCCAACTGACCGTTGTCCGCCATTTTGAATAGCATGTGATAGATCCGTATAAGGCTTGTATGACCATATAGGATGGCTAAGGGGAATCCCCGAATACGAAGAATATTATAGTATTATGGGAGCAGTGGCGGATCCGGGGGGGGGGGGGGCATGGGGCCCGCCCCCCCTAAGGTTGGCCCAGAAAAAAAAGTTGGGCCCAAGAAAATGTTAGGCCAAAAAAGACCCTAAGGCTCCAAAAAGTGGGCCTTTTGGTCATTATTTGGTCGTTATTTTTTCTCTGACCTCCAATATGGGCCCCCCCCTGTTGGTTCCTGGATCCGCCACTGGGGAGCTACTAACTTCTTCTGAAACAAACTCATATTTCAGATATGTTTAGCGCAAGCTTGATTTCACTCTACTTTACCTAACCCCTATGAATGCATAAGATACTCTGTTGTCTAATTGAATTGTTTAATATATTTTTGAAAGTACCTTATTAACATCTAACAGTCATCCGTTAAACCATTAATAAGGAACGGACAAATAAAAACAAAAAACATAACATTACTAATAAGCCAGATGAGTTGCTTATGAACACCAAATGCAAGGTATAGTAGAGTGAAAGTACATAAACTGTATGTCATATTCGTTGATTTCCGAAACAAAATGTACCACGTTAGTGCATTACACCATGTCATAGCTATGAAAGGTAGAACGGAGGTAAGATGGTCCTCAACTATTTGATCTTAGTTTTTTAACCCCTCCTACATTCGGAAATTAAACTAAAGATTTCTGATAAATGTAACAGCATTTTTATCATTTCAGTTATAATGTAAGACAAGGTATATAAGTAATACAGATTCGATTATTTTAGAGACATCTCTTTACATCCGCAAAGTCATAATCGCTGTAAGTGTGGCTAAAACGATCGACTGCACTGTTCGTGTGACACCAGATGATGTGTCATTGGATCGATCTGGGTAGAATCTATTGTGGAGACCAACTGGGATGATGGTAGGCGCATGGAATCTGGCAGTCTCTTTCATTGTCTTTGCATCCACCAATGCAACGAAGGCTGAAATGATCAATACACATTGTGTAGGTCGTTAGAGGGTTTGTCCTTGGAGTGTTTCTAAGAATAAAAACTCATAAACATTTGCATGTACATGCGAATATTTAAAAAAATTGTAATACATCAGATGAATGATCCTCATTTTAAAAGACTACTTCTTTCAACCATATTGTTTTATATATGAAAAAGAAATGAGTCAATAGTGTATATTACTCCTCGTAGAAACATGATGACGCCAGTATCTGCACTTTTATCTTACTTGTATTATCCGGGACGCTGATGCCGTTTAGTAACAATAATCCATCGTCCTCAACTGTGGCACCCGGTCGTGGGATAAAAATAGGTTCCCATGGCATGTGTCCGAAGCCAGGGTCATAACGCAATTCTTCTTTTGTATCTACATTCAACTGAAACAATAATATATTTGTATGAATTTCACGTTTTTTTCATTTCAAATAAACATCAACGATGCATTGCTACAAACGGAAAATGGAACAACTACTGGTGGATGGCTTCGTAGGAAAATTAAGTGAGTGTCCTTTACTGCATCTTCAGCAGGCGTCTATTTTCTGAAATGCTAGCTCCAACTTCCATTTCAAGGTTATCATTCTACCTTAAGGTTTGACTAAATTCTGCCGAATTTCATTTTGACAGTTCTGCATCTTAAATTTTCAAGAGCTGCTAAATTCGATTAGATATCTAAAATCCTTGTTTGAGAAAATACAAGTGCATTTAGAATAAAAGCACAAGTTCTGAGATTGGTTCCAACACTTTATACTCCCTATGGCGTCAATTTCCTTTAATTTCCATTTATATTTGATTGCAACTATATCTGAAAGGAGTCATTGTATGGACTTTTGGGCGACCTCATCCCATTGAACGATTTTGGTTCAAATCTCCGAATGGGGGCCCCTCCTCGCTGTAAAATGTCCCATTTGTATTCAAGACACTAACTAAAGCCAGGAAATAAATCCACATTGAACTATTAAGTTACATAATGAAATATTCCATCAATTTACCTTCAGTATAGTTGAGTTTTCATGTAGTGCATCCATCACAATGTAAGCATATTTGTACTCCTTTCCATGGAATGCATTATTAACCTGACTGAACTCCGCATTGACAGGATAATCCGTTGTCAAATGTTGCTTTGTAATACTCCAGTTGCTTGTATCAATGACAAATCTTGCGACATCTGTTACAAAATTTGTCTAGAAATTCAAAAAAAGAATGTTTTAAACAGTAAGAATACAATCATAAAACATATGTAAAGAAGAACTAAAAATCAGTATCTAAAGTCTCCCTAAATGAATGCTTTTTTGCTAGAATTTGCAATAACAAATTTTCATACGTAAAATAGCAATATGCTGCTGATGGAATGCCAAATGAATATGTGATTTGACATCTTTCCTCAGTTGTTGGATTGATGATGGAACAACCGACAAATTAGTCACAAGTTTTCTTGGCACAAAGGCACTGCATCAGAAACATATAGCTATTTTTTGTATGAAGAATGTTATTGCAAATCATAGCAGCAAAAATGCTCATTCATTTTGTTACTCAAGGAGCACACGCGTCTCGAACTCGCAACCTCGTGGTTACGGCGCCCAATAAGATAGATTTAAGAAGAGTGGATTGGTTAGTATGAAGATCTCAAATTGATTACCATAGCATAAATGAATTGATTGCTTTTGTTGCAACCTCGGGTGTTGATGCTATCGCCATACGAGTTCATGAACTATTTTTTGATATTTGACCACTTATTTTTAGAAGACGGTTTAACACTATGCATTCGACTTTTATATGCCATTTCGTTGGTTTCATGGTCTTTTACTAACTAAAATACGATTATGCATTGAACTTACTCCATTGAACATGTCTTGGACTTTCAGATCATAGTACACTCTTTCATTGTCGTAAACCAACATGTCAGCCGTTATCTTTCCATCTTTTTCGTAAGCATTCAACTGGAACTTAATTGTGCCAATGTAGGTGTTTCATGTAAAGGTATTGTAGCGAAACAAGGGTTAGGGTAAGAGCAACTCACTATAATGTAATTTGCTCGTTTTGATAGGTGGTCTGATTTTCATTGGAAAAATCCTCGATTGCTGCCCTGATTGGCCCAAAGGCCATCGGATAATGCTTTGTTCCAGACACCCGACTCTAAATATTAACCGTTTCAATTTACTTACTTACAATATGTTTAGGCCTATTTTCTGTATTTTCAATACCTCTCGGTCTTTACACTTAGGGTTCTTTTAATACACATTTGCACTGTCTTACCTGGTGAGTACCAAACATTTGCACTGTCTTACCTAATGAGTCACAAACATTTGCACTGTCTTACCAAATGAGTCACAAACATTTGTACTGTCTTACCAAATGAGTCACAAACATTTGCACTGTCTTAACTGGTGAGTCACAAACATTTGCACTGTCTTACCTAATGAGTCACAAACATTTGCACTGTCTTACCAAATGAGTCACAAACATTTGTACTGTCTTACCAAATGAGTCACAAACATTTGCACTGTCTTAACTGGTGAGTCACAAACATTTGCACTGTCTTACCTGGTGAGTCACAAACATTTGCACTGTCTTCCTGGCGAGTCACAAACATTTGTATTGTCTTACCAAATGAGTAACAAACATTTGCACTGTCTTACCTAATGAGTCACAAACATCGGATCTATTTCCATTGCAGCAGCGACCTCCATGTTGGATTTTCTCACTACATAAACTTTACTTTTAATTTCACTCCTAAATTTCCAAAGCCTTTTAAATGTCGGATCACCTGGCGCGGAATAAACTTAAATGCAGATAAATAAGAAATGCTGTTAAACAAAAGTGAGGGTTAATATCCACTGTCAATACCCGAAGAATGTTCTTACGGATGCTGTAGACGGGGAAGGGCAATATCCTACATAAGGAATCAAAATATTACTTTAAGATTTTTATTGGTAATGTATAATGTTGAATTGTTGTAAGGAACAACTGATTGTTACATTTGAGTAAATCTAAATCGTAATATAACAAAGCCCCTGTGCTGCTATCTGGAAAACGAACACAAATATACTCACTAAAAGCATCACAGTAGTCCAACATCATTGATGTGCCAGGGATTATGATGTAATTCTTTGTCATTGTAAATGAATGGAGATAAGGCATCAGTTTTGTAGTATCTGGATATGGAGCTCCGTTACATTCTCCTAGTGATATATTCCCCATAACAATTTCTCCCTTGGGAATTCTCGTCTCGTTTATAACTTGGTATAAAATAAGCCTGAAAATATAAACTTTAATGTACAGTGTATTGTCTTATGGAGTAAAGCATGTAATAAAAGTGAGGATCACATCTAGATAACTATGGCATTGCTAATTAATTATTCTTTTAACATACATGCACGGACTACATTTTATATTCATTTCATGGATAAAACTTATTTATATAGGTTTCCGATAAAATATTATTATTGTTTACATATTACACGAATCGCACAAAACAAAAATGATATAGACAGCAAAAATACCAAAATTGTCTCGTGAATTCACAGCGTTCGACAAACTAACACCATTCAATGGACATTTAAGGTCATTTAAGTCTTACTTTGACGTCAACAGACCTCTCCTCCCGGCTGGAGTTAATGGTACAATGGCACCTGTTATCATCCACTGCTCCCCCGTTACCATGTCGATTCGATCATGTGCAGGTTGATTGACTAATATAGTCCCCTCGGGCAGTCCAAAATGTGGTCTATCCTTATATGGATACAGTCCCCTGCTCTCCATAGTGTCTTTATTTAGTAGCATAGCTTTTAAGTGAATATAAACATTAATAAATGAAACCCCATAATGGAAAATTGAATTTATTAATCTTATTAAAAGAATAAAAGAAAACATACATGTACCTTATTGAAGGTTAGAATGAACGAATGAATGAATATTGTAGTTTATTGATTTTAGGTTTCTGCGCTTCACATCAAATAATGTTGAAATAAATGTCACCTTGGTATTTACATGTATTGTCTAGCCTCCCATACATTTACAAGGTTACCTAATCTGACCATGTTTTCAATACAAATAATTAAAAATAAATATAAAACAAACATATAGCTAGGACAATTTATTTACGTTGATGATTTTCTGTTACTGCCAAGATCTCCTCTTCAAGTTTCCAGAAGTTGACAGATGGATTGGAATCTCGCTTATCGGGAAACAATCTCAGGTTCTCGATCATTCTAGTATAATTCTGAAAATTGTGAGAACTTCACGATCCAATATTTCGATTGAAAAGACTTACATTCTTATTTAATATGCAAGGATGTGTAAACATACTGATCAACGGGTAAATTCCAAAAGGTAAAAAGCATATCAAAACATGTGTTAGTGGAACATCTTTGGTACCAAGAAGGTGTTCAACTTGGGAAGTGTTTCACTTACAGAGGCTCATATATCAGTAAGTCAGTCGGTCATGGGACTCTGAAAAGTGTTCAACTTCGTAGATGTTGCACAGCTTTTGCTGTCTTAAAAAGTGTTCAGTAAGCTGGTTGAAACTTGAACACTTGTATAAGTGTACACATACATTTCGGTCACGAATATTATTGTTAGTTTAAAATGATACATACTTAGTACTTACATAAGGTGAAAAGATGGTGACCCAACTAACTTGGGACCTCGCCCAATCATTGTCAAAACTTTTCCAAATGTTGTATCCTCTCGTATCGTAAAACCTAAGACATGATATCATGTACATCAAGGAATCAAGGTTTATAAAATAAAAATAAAATATTACATAGTGGTAAAGGCAATATAAGGAACCTAAGTAGAACCATACTCGCATCCTCAAAGAATCTTAGACTGAGACAATCTAAGTATTTTTAAATCATCATAAAAAATGTTATGAATAAATATACATTTCGAGGTATCAAAAGAGCAAAAAGGGGTTATACTAATAAAGAAAAGCTGGACTCTTGAGATAAAAAAAGAAAATTACAACCGATTTTAAGGAAAAATACACAACAGTAATCGAACTTATACACGCTGAACTAACTTCAACCATCAATTTGTATTTTTGACCTACCAGATGCTTGAAAATAAAGGATTGCGAGTTTCATGCTACACCGTTTTTCTTCAAACTTGTTCCATTCAAAACAAAACAAAATTGCTGTCGGTGAATTGCTTTATTGTAGAGTCCCTCGTTTTAGCAGCGTTTTGGTCCCCAGCTGTTTGAAGCCTTTCTCATAGCTGGGGACAAAAATGCCGCTGGAAGTAGGGATAACTTTTTAATGTACCAACAGAAAGGATTTTTTGTTATAATTTGAATGTAACAAGTTTGAAGAAAAACGGTGCAGTATGAGACTCGCAATTCTTGATTTTAAAACATATGGTTTCAAACCCAAAGCCAAAAATCATGGAAACATATATTCAAAATTATATTTCCCGGGGTGTGTGTAACTTAATATCTTGGTGTTAAGTCTGCACACAAACGTATACACTTTGTAACTCATAAATAAGATAAGCGTACTTGTTTGTGAACTTGACTTCGCCATCCGTAATATGATACATTCCAGCTCCTCCGACACCGTCGAACCAATGCTCTATCCTCTCCATTGGATTATGACTGTCAAGGTTACCAAATGAACCCCCAACCTGACGTATGAATCGGCCTAAAATAAACAATGTGAACTAAGCATTTCATAAAAATGGCAAAAAAGAAAAAATGTAAATCTTTATGAGCCCTACGCTATGTGACTCTGCCTTAAGCACCTCTGATTAACCAAAATAACTTCGACTGAGGCAATATATTAATATACTGTTACTTACCCTTTATCCATTTTGGAAATTCTCCACTAACCCTTGTGACAGATGCATTTGTAAATTCAGTCATCAGTGTGTGAAAGCCAACCTTTGCATGGTTATTTACGCCTAAACAACCCATGCACAGCCAACATAGCTGTAATACTATCATCAACATATGCCTCTCCATTTGTCTGCTATGCTATGTATAGGTCTACCAAAATCGCCTTCTTTACTATAATGTATTTGCTAATATAATGATTCGTGGATGTAAATGAATCAAAATACACTTCATTAAGGCTTTTAGTTGTTATCATAATTGAAGAACCAATACTGCAAAATGTTGACAATTTGGAGTGCTAGTAATCGGGATGAGTAAAATAACTGAACAAAGTACATTTTTATTAATATATCTTAATCTTTAATATTTACTCTAAAACAAGTGTTTTACAATTCTGCTGTTCCTAAAACGACCCCATGATACAGTGTCAAGAGATTCCACACATCAAAGTGCGTTATTCGCTGCAAAGGCCAATATATATATCATTAAAGAGTGAAATGGGACACTGTATAGTATACATAAACTAAATCTATTAAGTGATCCTAGTAATTTGGTAACTTTAAATATACTGTATTTAGCATAATTTATTATAGCTATACAAAATAGTTGTTAATAAAGTATTTCACATTTCTACTTCTATTTACGTGACAAAAAACTGCTCGTCCTACTCAGACTCCAAAACTTGTAATGGCAAAACATCACTCGGTATTGATGAAGTTAGATTGAACCCATCTAGACAATGCTAACTAATAAGACATTTTCAAAAGTATGATATTACGAAAATTAAATGATATAAGAATAAACATTGGTTAAATCACATATCCATTAGCATCACTTTGGTACACGTAGATACCGATAATGGACGGGTTGGGTACAAACGTTTTACCGGTGCGGTACGACAGATACTCTTTGATTTACCCATAAGCAGCTTGATATCTAACTCCCAATATGTTGTTACATTTTGACATAGCAAAACCGTTCAATACTCATCAAGGCCTTTCTTTCTTGAGAAAGTATTATCGGCAACTGATAAATTAATTCATTGAAAATTTGTACATGAGACCTAAGAAATTTAAAATAGCATGTCAAAAATTCCCATACCGGAGCTCTGTATGAGACCTCTATAGTGTTTGTACCAGCTATCACCTTCGCACGCTCGGTCTCCACTGCGCGTTTGATGGTAGCCGAGTGATGTCTGATTAATTCTTTTCATTCATCCCAAATATCACAAATCCGATTCATTCTCAAAATTCATTGGAGGTGATATTTTTAGAATAAACACGGAAAGATATTTTTGCTTGGAAATGGATAAATAAGTGACTTTTACATTGCTATTGTGTATTTTGACATACTGTCTTTAATTCCAAAATACACACATGGCAGGGAAAGTTTTCCCAAAATTTGGCTTATCCATTACTTGTCAAATTGCTTCTTATTTTTAGTACAAAAACTATGAAAACATTGCATTGCTCCGGTATGGGATGTTATGACATGCTATCTTGAACTTCTTAGTACTCACATAACATTTACTTGATCTTTTTTATTTTTTGTACCTTGCTAACGATACTCTTCGGCAACTATGTACACATTTTCAGTGAATTTGGTTCATCAGTTTGCTGCCGAGATAATACTTGTCAAAAAGTGGTTCATTTTTAGGACACCCGATATAATATGTGATTTTCAATTGATGAGTTTGCAAACACACAAAACATTTACAGATTTCAAGCCAAAAATGATGAACCTTTAATCCTTTATATTTTTATCGCGATCGTATAAAGCCAATAAGCGGTCCATGTACCTTTCCTACCATCGGGAACTAAACTAACGATCTATGTTGAATGTAACCATATTTTCGTCAATTTTCTTTATATTTTAAAACAGGATATATTAGTAGGACAAATATGTACAAGGTACATGAGTATTGTAATGTAATTGTATGGTGGTAGGTAGACCACAAATTTGGTTGCCAAAATATTGTTTAACTTGAACTTCATGTAATATGTAGCCGCATGAACAAGAGAAATGTCTTTATATCAGTAAGGTCATAAGTGCAATAAGTGTTGCTAAAACGATCGACTGCAGTGTTTGTGTGGCGCCAGATGATGTGTCATCGTGGGATGGATCTGGGTAGAATCTATTGTGGATACCAACTGGGATGATGGTAGGCGCATGGAATCTGGCAGTCTCTGTCATTGTCTTTGCATCCACCAATGCAACGAAGGCTGAAAGAGTTAATAAACATTGTATCGTCTGTGATTAATTCTGAGAATAAACCTGCATTTTTTAAGGGGGAGTTAAAAAATCCAGGGGCTCACATTTGACAACGTTGACAACTTAAATAGTTCTCAGAATGGTGAAAACTGCATGGTTTTGAATGCGAACATGTTAAAAGAAAATTGTAATACATCAGATATGTGAACCCCATTTAGACATCTTGTTTCAACCATATCGGTTTCTAATTGAAAAACACATGACTAAAGAGTTTAGGATCAAATCTACGATACTCGATATATTCAAATTCTGTAATTCTACTAAAGCAACAAAAAAACTTTAAGAAATATTTTCAATATATATCGCATGGTCATGATTACCAGTTGTGTTTGCATCAAAATAGCACACATGAAATGTTGGTGATATCACACACATGATTCAGGCTGTGGTAGAATAACAGAATTTGAATATATTAATTATCGTAATTTTGCCCGGGTATCACTCCTCGTCGAAATATAGTGACGCCAGGATCTGCACTTTTATCTTACTTGTATTATCTGGGACGCTGATGCCGTTAAGTATCAATAATCCATCGTCCTCAACTGTAGCACCAGGTCTAGGGATAAATATAGGCTCCCATGGCATGTGTCCGAAGCCAGGGTCATAACGTAACTCTTCCTTTGTATCTACGTTCAACTGAAACAAGATTATATTTGTATTAATTCGATGACGGCTATTTTGTTAAATGTAAGATACACGTTGTACTAGCTTTATTTTAGGATTATCCTTCTATCTTTTAGATTTTCTAAATTTGATTCAATACTGATGAATTTTATGATTTCAATTATCTTCTTTATCAAAATACATTTAGTATCATATCCGTAACATTGTTACGATTTTGAGATAGGCTCAAACACTTTATACTCTCTATTTGTCAATTCGAATTCCTTGATTATCATTTTTATTTGGATTACATACTTGGTCTGAACAGATATTCCAAAGGTGCCACTCTGCAAACGATTGGGGCGTGATAATTACCGAATAATGAGGTTTGTCCTTGCTATCAAAATCTTTTATTTGTACTGGTATTTAACATACTAACTAATATAAAAGCCAGAGAATTAACCAAGAATTCACATTTTAAGTTATAGTGAAATTTTTGCATCAATTTACCTTCAATATAGTTGAATTTTCATGCAGAGCATCCATCACAAGGTAAGCATATTTGTACTCCTTTCCATGGAATGCATTATTAACCTGACTGAACTCCGCATTGACAGGATAATCCGTTGTCAGATGTTGCCTTGTAATATTCCAGTTGCTTGTATCAATGACAAGTCTTGCGATATCTGTTACGAAATTTGTCTAAAAATTCACGAGTGAAAAGTTTATGTTTTATACAGATATATTTTAATCATAGTACATAGTACCATAGTACATTGGTATTTATATACGACGATCTCAAATTTATTATTTTTATTGAATGGTTTAAAGTGCAATACAGGACATATTGTGCTCGAGAAATTCTGTATTGGTACAAGACGAAGTATTGCATTGCACTTTAAATCATTCTATCACGTTTTTATCGTGTGATCTTAAGCGAAATAGGAGAAAATTCCTGGAAAATATTCTTGCTCTGAGATTGTCCCCCCGTACCAAGATTTTCTGTATTGCTACGGAGATGATCAATCCCGTACCAATACTAGGTGAGGGGACAATCTCAGTAGCAATACAGATTGGTACAGCACGATAACTGGCCAATCAGAGGGATTTATTATACAGATCATACGATAAATTAAATATTGACTGCCAAAGTTAAAAACAATTTTCATAAGAAGTACTAGGATGCAACACAAAATAGAATAAACCAACATAGATTCATGGTATTTTACAAACTAGAATATCATTATGTATTAAACTTACTCCATTATACATGTCTTGCACTTTGAGATCATAGTATACTCTTTCATTGTCGTAAACCAACATGTCAGCCATTATCATCCCATCTTTTTCGTAAGCATTCAACTGGAACCACAAGAAGTAAGTAGCTCCCATAATTATTTGGGATTATTTAGTAACAGGGACTTCCTCTTAGCTTTCCAAACATGGCCCTACACGCCTTATATGGATCTATCACACGACATTAAGTAAACAGTAAGCTCGATTCCAATATGGTCCTAAAAGCCTTTTATGGATACATCAGATAGATACCATATGACAAAGTGCCAACTCTGAACTCTTGAAAATCCCCTTGAACTAGAACGTATTTATGTCAATGGAAGTATTACTTGTAGAGGTAGGTTAAGCATAGGTAAAGGGGACAAGCCATTAAGAGGCCATTCTCTGACTTAGTCATTTTTTCAAAAGTGTGAAATAAAAAAATTCATGAAAAGTTCTTAAAGTATTCTGAATAACAAGTTGAATATATATATTTAATGATGGCACACGCAAAAGTCTGAAAATTAACATGAAATGAAGGGTTTTGACAGATGCAAAAGATGGTAGATTTGTGATGAAGAAATAGAGGTTTTTGCAGTGACAACACAATTACCTCAAAGTTATCCGTTATGAGAGGCTGAGGACTAAACTTGAAATAATTTTCAATCTCAGATTATCAGTAGTATCTAACTTAAGCCGGACAGCCACTCAAAATGTATATGGAGCCCATAAGATTCATTTTTCTCAATTGAAGTCACTATTTCTGTTTTTAGCTTCAGAGGATAGGAGGTACATGAACATGCTAAAGTTACCTAGATCACAAGCCGTACCACAAATATAAAGTATATAGGAATAGAGTTGATATGTGTGAAAACCTTAAACTTCCCATTTTATTGGGGATGGAACTTGTGGACCATGTGTATTTCTAACTTCTTCACATCTGCATGGATCTAAAATTGTGGCAGCCATCTTGGATTTGTCATATATGTGGACATGGTTTTGGTTGTGCTGAATTTGTTTCAAAATAACATTTCTTGTATACCTTCGATAAGTGAGATTGGCATTTGGCATAAAATACAGATAGTATACTTGACATTTAATGCAGTAAACAGTAATACAATTCATTCTTACATAATAAGTGAGTCCTGACAAAAAGTTGTTATTGTGTTAGTTTAACTGGGCATAAATTACACTCATTGGCCTTGGTTTTCTTAATTGGCTTGGATAAAATGTTGTTCTGTTTATTCAGAAAAGGAGTATAGTTCAATATACAAGTTCACATTCGTTCCATCCTTGTAGAAATGAATCTCATATTATTTCATCTCAAATATAGAACACAAAAAAATAATAAAAAACAAGTTTCTATTAATTGCAAAAGTTAGCTTCTATGTCATGACTGAGTTTGGGTTCCGCTTCTAGGGAAAAATATCTATATGGAAATATCATATTGACCATTGCTATACACTCCATATTTAATCCTCCCAGTAAATAACATTGATATACAGTATACAAGTATATATGACATCGAGGATCTGGGGTTTGGGTAATGTGAGACATGAGGCCACTTGTCTTTTTGAATCTTATATTCAATATTCTTTCTTTAAACCCTCATATTTAATATTTTTGGAGTGGTAATTCAATTATGTACCTATTTTTTTATTCTTTATCCCATAGTTGAACTCTGTTCCGCTCTGTTAGGTAACATGAAAACATATTTGTGATATTTTGCAAATGCGTGGAAAAAGTGATATCTGTGGAATACGGAAAATATTTCACAGATATCACCTTTTGGCAGGGATTTGAAAACTACCACCAATATGATGTGTTTTGTTACATAGTGATTTCATGACATCACGGGGATGAATGTATGTTGTTTTGATATGTTTTGTTTAGTTTTAGAGGTGAACTATGGGAAAAATAGAACATCCTATGAATTTTCGTGATATTGTGTTAATCCAACTCATTGATATCAATATCTGCGCTAATTCGCTATTCTAACTTGGCAAGATATTGATATCAACTCGGAGATAAAGATAAAATCATTTAAAATCATATAATATCCTATACATATCCTTTACTGTGCCACAACTTTCTCATTTGTTATATATTTTGGCACAGGCCATCATTTATTTTCCTTGAATTCATGCTTTTGTTCCTCGTTTTAGAAATGAGAGGAAATCTTTGATTTTCCTTGTATTTAAGTTGCTTAAAGGTTCCCCTGTGATGTTGATAAAAGTCAATAGTAATCCATTACAGTCACAGTTGAAATGTACCCATTGCTAGCCCAGAACCTACCAAAATAGCATTTGCATTTTGTCAATATTGCCCTATGTGCTTTTCCATGAAAATAATTTTAATCGTATCTTTTCTTCAGTATTTCATATATTACATTTTGATATATTTGAATTGGTTAATATTTATATACTATTTACTTAGACAACAATAAATAAAGAATTTTTTGTAAAAACACCAAAAATGGTATATGATCTTTAAATGACTGTTGTGTGAACATCAAAGGTCAAAATTCGCTGAAATTGTATTTTTATAAAGCACAAATAATTTTTCTTCAATATGATATGCATTATTATCAGATATCTTTGGGGGCTAAAAAGGGCCCTTAATGACACCCGTCCTTTGAATGAATCTTGATCAGTTTCGAGAGATGGACTGATTTTCATTGAAAAAGGTCCTCGGTTGCTGCCCTGATTAGACCAAATGAACACCGGATGATGGTCAAATGACCGGATGATACTCAAACCTAGAAAAATACCCTTTAATATACTTGCGATCTTATTCGGATTGTTTTCTTTTTTGCTGTGTTATGTAATTAAACGATTTCTAATGTTTCCCCATTGGCCATTGCCTTGCATATTTGCTTTTAATACGTCTCATTTTTTTACACTTAGGCTCTTTATTTGCATGTTTGCACCGTCTTCCTGGCGAGTCACAAATATTTGCACTGTCTTCCTGGCGAGTCACAGACATTTACACTGTCTTACCTGGTGAGTCAAAAACATTTGCACTGTCTTACCTAATGAGTCACAAACATTTGTACTGTCTTACCTTGGTGAGTCACAAACATTTGAACTGTCTTACCTAATGAGTCATAAACATTTGCACTGTCTCACATGGTGAGTCACAAAACATTTGCACTGTCTTACCTGGTGAGTCACAAACATTTGCACTGTCTTACCTAATGTGTCACAAACATTTGCACTGTCTTACCTGGTGAGTCACAAACATTTGAACTGTCTTACTTGGTGAGTCACAAACATTTGCACTGTCTTACCTTGATGAGTCACAAACATTTGCACTGTCTTAACTGGTGAGTCACAAACATTTGCACTGTCTTACCTGATGAGTCACAAACATCGGATCTATTTCCATTGCAGCAACGACCTCCATGTTGGATTTTCTCACTACGTAAACTTTACTTTTAAGTTCATTCTTAAATTTCCAAAGCCTTTTAAACATTGGATCACCCGGCGAGGAATAGACTAAAATGCAGATTAAAAATATTGTTTAACTTAGATGAGAATTAATATTATTATTAATTGCTTTTCAATACCCAAAGGATGGACTTACAGAAGTTGAGGAGGGGGTATTTATACAGCTTATCAATATATTATTGTAAGATTTGAATTTATTTGTACATGTATGATTTAAAACATTACGATTCACATAAAGTAGAATCATTAATTTGTTGATAGAAATAATTCATAATAAGTCATAGAGTGTTACATTTGAGTAAATCTAGATCGTGAGATAACATAATCCTTGGGCTGCTGTCTGGGAAACGGACATGATAACAAACTAACCGAAAGCATCACAGTAATCCAACATCATAGATGTGCCGGGGATTATGATGTAGTTCTTGGTCATTGTAAATGAATGAAGGGCATCAATTTTGTAGTATCTGGATATGGAGCTTCAGTTACAGGGTTGCATTCACCCAGTGATACATTCCCCATAATAATCTCTGCCTTAGGAATTCTCGTCTCGTTTATAACTTGGTATAAAATAAGCCTAAAAATAAATATACTTTCCCCATAATAATCTTTGCAATAGGAATTTTCGTCTCGTTTATAACTTGGTATTTCACCACCACGTCGAACACAGACCGGCGAACTCCAACCGCCAAACATTGTCCACAAAAGGTTGAATAGCAATATGTAACGACTTCTAGTGGTGACATAGAAGGACCACATGTATAAAATGTTATAACCTTTGCATCGCTAATAACTATGAATTTAACATACGGACGCTCTTTTGAAAGCATTTTTTATGCCGTATTTATATAGTTTTTTTCAAATGATATCATTATTCGCCAACATACGCGAGTCGCACGAAAGAAGAATGCCATTCAACAATAAAATTCACTCAATATCTAATATTCCAAAACGGACTTTTAACGTACGATACACCAAGTACTGTTTAATGGATATGACTAAAGTCATTATAACGTTCAATTCGAATCTTACTTTGACTCCAACGGACCTCCCATCCCGGCTGGTGTCAATGGTACAACAGCACCTGTTACCATCCATGGCTCCCCCGTTTCCATGTCGATTCTTTCATGTGCTGGTTGATTGATCAAAATAGTCCCCTGGGGCTGTCCTATATCCGGTGTATCCTCAAATGGGTATTCTCCCCTGCTCTCCATTGTATTTTTATTTAGGAGCATAGCTTATAGGTGAATAAAATTTAATCATATATGTAACAGTCCTAAAGAAAAAAAATTAATTCTACTAATTTTCATTGGTATATTTCAATTGATCACGATTTTATGGCCATTTTACAAAATATGTCTAATATCAAGAAATGTTAAAATTAATATCACCTTCGTATTTTTGTCTGCCTTTAGATTTTACAAGGTGACCGAAAATGACCAGGTAATCCATACAAAAAAATAAGTAAAAAACAAACAAATAGGGCAATCTTTACCTTGATGATATTCCGTTACTGCCAAAATCTCCTCGTCTGGCTTCCAGAAAGTGACACATGGATTGGTATCTAGCTTATCGGGAAATAATGCCTGGTTCTCGATCATTCTAGTATAATTCTGAAAAAATTGTGAGAACCTCAAAAACCAATGCTTTGTCATTAAAAGGTTAAGTTGCACCCATTTGGGAGAACTCGCGTCGAACGTAAATGACCCCCAGGAATTGTTGTCCCTCTCTTAATTGGCTTAAACGGGGACGTTATTACAACGATTTCCCCAGACCTTCATACCCAATCTGGCAAATAAAGACAAGTTGTGATGATCCTCCCATACTTAATACAATGTTATGTGATTATTCTGGAGGATTATCACTTTGTTTAAATTGCTCTTACCTTTATTTATCAATTATGTTTGTAGATACTTCATAATTCAGGAGTTTGTTCAGAATTTTCTTATTTCACTACTTCCTTGTTCAGCCATGTTTGTTGACGGTCTCATTGAAAAGTTTATATTGTAAGGGATAGATTGGTAGGTCAATTATACGAGTTGCTTGTAATTTTGTCACCCATATAGATCTGATTCTGCCTTTAAGCGATTACATTTTACTTTGAGACTATAAAAGTTTGGCTAGATTTTAACTTGAATATGTTGTAAAGTGCTTTAATAATTAAATAGATCGATCATGTAAATTGTATGATTGTGTTTGATAGCTTATTTGACAACTTATTATGTATTTAAACATGGTTAATGGGGGCTATTCGAGTTAGTTTTTTTATTTGCCCCGGGTGCCTTGATTTCAAGTTACTATGGCAACCATTTCTTATCTAATGTTTCTGTTATTCTAAATATTGTTTGCTTGATTAATAAAACATTCCATGCTGCACATTCTGTGAAAATTTCATTTGAAAATATTGAAAAATAAAGAAATAAGAGAGATATTATGAGAACTTTATGATCAACCCTCGTATATCATCTTTTTAGATACACTAACCTAAGTGAACGGGTTGGTAAGGTAATGGAATTGCTTTTACTTTAAAACAGAGAAACTGTTTATACTTTTTCCTTGTTGGTGAATCTTCTGATTTCTCTCACTCATTTAGCTTCATTTACATTAGCATAAATTCATTTAAACCATGTTAAGGGTTATTATATCAGGTTCAAAAAGAATATTCAGGGCCATTTTGTATGAATACGACTTTGATTTCAATCTGCCTGGTCACACCTTGTCTCAAATGTGGCTGTACATATTTATATAGCAGATTGATTTGAACTTTCAGAACTGTATTTCTAATTAAACCTTCATAAGCATTGAGTGAGCTACGTGTACATTCTTGTGAGAAGCATTTCTGATTCATTTGACATTTACAGATTGACTTACATGTAGATTTAAGATTCAATCGCCAACTTGATATTTTTGGCTTTATCTTATATAATTTGAGGGAAATATCTGCTTGCCAGTGTTGATTATTTGAGTTACTACAATATTCATACTTAAAATCTACATTTTGAACTGAAAATTTGAGAGAATTACCAGCTATTTATTTCACTTTTATATGTATTGCAACTGCCTAATGTATTCCATATTATTGTTTTTATGATGACAATACAACCCATCTTTTGCCTGTATTGAATTAATTAGACAGGTCATTTTACCAAGTGAGGAAAACTGGCAGGCAGAATTAAGAGTAGCAAGTTACGTTATAGTTTGCATTGAATTTTCTAGATACACTGAATTTCATAAGTGTATTTGACTGAAAATAACGTTACTTTCTGTTGTATTGCATAACTGACGGTAAATCTATGTAGAATTGTATAACCAAACACATGTATATATCTTGAAATAGAGTTGAATTATATTCATTTTATATAATTTCCCATTACATTCTCTGTTGTGTTTAATGATTGTGTAAAGTGAATGTGGATATAGATCAGTGTTTAAAAAGTCCCCCATTCCCATATATTTTACAATCTATTATCAAGCTAGACCATTAGAAATCCAAATACTTGATAGCTGGGTAACCCAGGACCACGCTACCCAACACCCTGGGTTGCCACAAAGTGAGGTGAACATAATACATAAAAAGTACATTTAAATCTAACACACGTGGACATTAAAATATGGTGATAATGATCTTTCATCTGAAACTAATAGCAACATTTGACTTCATAAGCTCAATACATCCTTACCAATAGCTACTAGCCCCGGAATATTTATCTTTAATCACAGTTAATATTTTGTATTAATAAGTATGTAACAATAGAAAACGACACAAATATGTGTTAGTTTATAACTATATATACTTACATAAGGTGAAAAGATAGTGGTCCAACTAACTTGAGATCTCGCCCAATCATTGTCAAAACTTTTCCAAATGTTGTAACCTCTCGTATCGTAAAACCTAAAAATAACAAACGTATATGAAATGGAATTTTGAAAATTAAAACTTCATGAATAAATATTCATTTCAAGGTGAACATATGTAATCACAAGAGGCAAACGGGGGATATATCAAAAAATGAAAAAAAGATTTAAATAAATAGAAAAGAGAGAATGCCAGAATACAATTAAAGTAACGAAAACCGAGCATTCCAAACAATAATCAACTCACAATTCACTAATTAGCAAAACCATACGTCACCTTTCTCCGACCTTACTTGAATCATTCACCCGAATCCAAAAGACTATTTTTTTTATTTATTTACTCAATTTATTTGTATCAATATAATACAGTTTATTACAAAAGTTGCTCCTCAATCGCTTTTCAGCATTGTAGAGGAGCAAAATAAATGAAAAATAAGACAATACACAACAAATGTGTTATGCTTTGAATGGACCAAGTTTGAAGAATACGGTGCAGTATGAGACTCGTAATCCTTGATTTTCAAACATCCGGTAGGTCAAAAATTCAAATTAACGGTCGAAGTTAGGACCGCGTGATATAGTCTCTGGTTTAAACGTTTCTAAACATTGTACGACACATTGACCAGAATATAGCGTTAACATTATTTCTTATCCACTAAGCATACTCACAAACGTAAACATTATGTAATTCAAAAATAAATAAAGCATACTTGTTGGTAAACTTGACTTCGCCATCAGTAATATAATACATTCCTGCTCCCCCAACACCGTCGAACCAATGCTCTATTCTCTCCATTGGATTAGGACTGTCAAGGTTACCAAATGAACCCCCAACCTGGCGTATGAAACGGCCTAGAATAAATATAAATAAACATAAGATAACATATTGTATGCTGAAATCTTGAAAAAGACTTGGGGATACAAGTCGAAAGCCTTGATCTAATAAAAAGTTCTCTGAAGAAATGAATAAAGTTGTTTTAGTAAACATAAATGACAGTTAAGAAACAAACTGCATACAACTGTATCACCCTGTAATAATACTTTTCTAGGTTATTTACCATCTTTAACGGAACATAGTGTACTAAAACAGTTTTAGATATTTAATTCATCCTTGGTCCAAGAGTATTTCACATGATTTATTCGATAGTGAAAGCATTATAGTGAAACCCTGATCTTGAAGCATGGCTTGTCTGGACGTTCAATTTTTTAACACTTGAACACTTTTCAATTGAAAAGGACTCTCGATTGATTAAAAGAAAGGTTCGCTGATTTCATTCGCATGACCTAGCTCATTATTCTGATTTAGTTTTCATCAGTAAGTGTAGACATCAAGCTTGCATGTTTGTATATATACTCCTAAAAGAAAGTTAAGGACCAGTGATTTTCCTCATAGGTTTACATGTTAACCCCCATATTTGTTTGAACGACTATTTTCTGGGCTTGGATCAAAAGAAAACCCGATAAAGTAAATACATCTGTATCTTGATTCTATTCCCTATAAAGTCTGCAACATTTAAATGTTATATCTCCATTATATTGGGTCAAAATTTGATGTCAAAATTGATGAATTTCATGAAATTTAACAAAAAGCAGATCCCATGTTAAACAAATGGGGAATGGTGGCTAAG